AAAAAAAAAAAAAAAAAAAAAAAAAAAAAGGCATGATTGACTGTAATTCTTACCAACAGAGAACCATTCAGAAACTACTAGATGAAATAAAGGTTTCTTTACCTATGCAATTCCTCAGCTCATGAACTTACCTCTTTCTGGTCACAAACTGATTTGGACGAGAACCAAATCAAATTTATCCACACAGTCAACATCACTCCTAACCACTGAATTTGATTTTGTTCTCATCCAATCCAGTTTGAAGCCAGAATTCTGGAAAGAATAAACCTTGCAAAGGAAGGCACCACTACAACTGCAGGTCATTATGTAAAAGGGTCAGTAAGGCAGCCCCCAAAACTAATGAATAAGTTAAATATCAAGCAACAACAGATTAGATTAAAATCTCATTAAATACATTTTGTGGGACATCAGCAGGAAGCTGCAAAAGATCTGATGAAGCATAATTGTTTTCATATAAAAATGCCACAATGATGAGGCGGGAGAGATAGTAATCTTGAACACAGAGGTGCAGGCAGTGTCCGAGAAGTACATGTTGGCAATGAGGAGACAGCTCTCTACAACACATACTGTCCCATAAACTGCAGATAGGCACAGGTATGCCCCTGACACGAAGTCTACTACTCTGATATTCTACCAACCACACAGCCTTCCCAGGAGATTCTGAAGAAGAAGATACACTCTTCATGCCAGGAACAATCCACACAGGAGCCTTCTATCTCTTAGTGCAGATAAGTAAACTGACATTCTGGTGGATATACAAACACAAAGACGGCTTCTCAAGTGCGTAATACTTCAATAAGAAGGTATTTGGGGACAGGAAAATGTGAGCACCATCTCACATGGTGAGAGCGACGTCACAGGGACTGTGAATACAGCGCAGCTTCTTTGTGACCTGGTGGCTCACACCCAGGGACACTTAGTGTTAGTTCATTCTTCAACGTGCTGCATCCTAGTATGATTCCTCAATGCAATGAAAACTTACATAGAGCTCACTGGATCTTCCTGGATATTTTTTGGTGGGGTCTTCTTTTGGTAATCATTTTCACGTTTTCCTGCAAAAATAAAACAGGCACTGAGTTAAAAACGTAGCATAGTATATTTTCATTTAACCAAAGCACCTTACCATGAGACGCACAAAGGGAAATCACTGGTCCACAATCTCATACAATAGATATTCTGTTTCGGGTTAAACATTCTCCAAACACACATGCTACACTGTCATCCCTTGGTAACCATGGGGAACCAGGACCTCCTTCAACCACTTCTACAGGTACCCAAATCCATGTATGCTCAAGTCTCTTGCATAAAATGGCTTAGTATCTGCCATATGACCTACTCATATCCTCCCATATGGTTTACATAGTCTCTAGATTACTTATAATAATACTATGTAAGTAGCTATTACTCTGTATTGGTTAAGGAAAACAGCAAGAAGAAAAGACCACGCATATTCAATACTAAATGTTTTAAAATAATTTCAATACATGGTTAGTTTAATCTGCTGATGGGGAACCTGTGGATATAGGTGGACAAATATGAATATATACATATGATTAAGATATATAAAATAAAGTTAAAAACAAAAAATAGATTATTACATTTTCCAAGTATAATACCAACCTCGATTTTCATAACTGGCTGGGTAACAATCCACAAAAGAAGTGCTAAGATCACATACTTCATTACTGTTGTGCTCTTTCTGATAGTTCTTGATTGGTTGACATTTTTCTGGACAACTTGTTTTATTAAAAGCAGAATTACTAAGAGTTGACTCTGAAACTGTAAAAATGCTCCTAATGCCTCCACCAGTGGAATGGTTTCCATCAGAGTTAGTGACTAAACAAGCATTTCCCAGACTATTATAACCACGCTTGTCAAAAGTTTTCTGTGTCATTTGTTGGTCTATGTTTAATAAATTGACCATGTTGTGACCAACAAGAGAGTCACAGTTCTCTGACAGAATACTATGAACTGGCTGGTTTACATCTTTAAGAAAAGTTGAAATTTCTTCTCCATTTTCTCCCCAAATACATTGTGCTGCTTGTTCTTCAATACTGAAGTCTGACTGTCTTTCATTCATGCTTCTCCAATCTTCACCCGAAGCTACACCAGTTCTTGTGGTAAGGAAATCCCCATTTCCTGGACTTTGGGATAAATAAAAACATCATTTACCAAGAGAAGTACAACCCATATTTATTTATGAATTCCTACATTAGAGTTAAATCTTTATAAATCAAGAAGTAGCTAGCAACATTTAAATTATTTTTTGTATTTAAATAAATAATACTGTTTTGGGTGGAAATGCACCTAATGTGCTTTTCTAATGATTTACTTAATATAAAAATTATATACTGTCCTATATTTCAACATGAAAAGTTAGGACATAGCTCACTTAGTTATATTAGAAAAAGAAAAATATGGACACAGTACGTGTTTAGTAATATATACAGCAAATAACCTAGAAAGCCACTGTACATCACCACTGTTCCATGTGACCAGGGAAAGATTTTGAAAACTGGGGATGTTACCTTGTATAAACCATCACATCATTATAACATACTTCTCAGCCTAACAAGGAGATTAAAAACAGCTATAACAGTTTCACAAAGAATTATGGATGCAAATTGGTGCATAAGAAATAAAGTCAAGAAACAGATGAAAATTAGATGAGAATCAGGTAAATTAGATAAGTCCTAATGCAGAAATCATAATTCTAGATATGATGATAGTTCAACTTATGTATAAGAATCAAAGTTATGAAAAAATGGAAACAAAGCTTTCGAACATGGGGAGTAGGAGGCTTGAGGAGGGAATGGGATAAAATTTATTTTAAAAAAAGAATCACAGTTGTGAAAAAATAACTGGAGGAAGAGATTTTATTGCCAGTACTTACAAATGTGTGATTGGGCTGTTCCAGAGGTTGGAGGTAGCAATGAAATTTTAAAGAGAAACACGGAGACTGCTAAAACTCTGATTTACAATTTTTAAATAATACAATTTTTAAATTACATATTTAATATTTAACAGGGACAACTGTGTTCCAGGAACTAGGCCATGTATTGGGGATAAAGATATAACTCATTTTGGTACTCGGTGATCATATATTGTGCCTCCTATGGGGCTTACTGTTGGTTCAGGAAATATAATGCTATTTTGTTGTACTAAAAACACAATCTAAAGTAATAATACACACCATTAATATCAGAAGAATGACTTTTATGTGTGTATTTCTATTGTATGGGAAAGACCGTAAGTTATAAAACACACTATTAATGTAAATCACTATTTAAAAGGTATTTTAAACATTATACCACAGACAAATAATTACTAAGAGAAATGAAGAATAGAGAAACGTGTAATCTATAGTTATTGCCAACAAGAAATGTACTCCATAAAAAAGTTAGGAAAGGGGCTGGGGAAAGTAGCTCAGTGGCACTGTGCCTGTCTCTCAAGAGAAAGGTCCTGAGTTTGATCCCCGGGTATGAGAAAAGAAATAAAGAAAGAAAAAAAGCAAGGAAAAATTGCAAAATAACAGGTATTATCCGGTAGTCAAATACTGCAATAGTGATCAGAACAGATTTTTTTTTTTTTTGCTTAAAAAATAAGGGATGTAGCACCTGATTGGGGACTGAATGTTTTACTTATAGAGATGACATAAAAATGTCAAAAACTTAAAAGGAGACTTTAACAAAGATGGCAGAGTGGTAAGCAGCAATAGGTCAGCCTCTCCAAGACTCAGAATCCAGACACTAGAAAACAATAAACTGAGGAAGCAAAGGAGGAGACAGGTGGGACCCAGGAAAAATCTTTTTTTTTGTTTTTTTTTGTTTTTTTTTTCATGTAAATTTTAAGACTGCTCAAGTTTTGTGAAGAATGTTGTTGGTATCTTTTTTTCCTTATTGAGTTTATTGGTACATTTTAGGTATACAGTACAGTTACATTCAATATTGGAATTTTGTACCTTTCTTTACATGACAGGTCTTGGTTCTCATTTTTCCCCTTGTCCCTACCCTCCCTTTACCACTCCTCCCCTCCCCCTTTAACAAACACTTCATTTCCAGTTTTTCATTTTCTCATATTTTTCCCCTTATTAGCTTTCCCCTACCCTTCCCACTTTCCCTACGCCATTAGCCCCTTTCTTCCTATATCACATTGTCCATTATATCATGAATAAACTATAATAGTATATAAAATCCTAATGATATAATGGACAATGTTGTTGGTATTTTAATAGTGATTGCATTAGATTTGTTTTGGTAATATGGCCATTTTGGTGATATTAATTCTGCCTGTTCAGGAGCCAAGGATGTCTTTGCATTTTCTAATGCTCTCTTCACTTTCTTTCTTCATAGTTCTGTAGTTTTTACCTTCTTGAATGAGTTGTAGGTATTTAAATTTTTTGAAGATATTTTAAATTGTTTTCTAATTTCCTTCTTGGTGGGTTCATTATTTGAGTATAAGAATGCTATTGATTTTTGTGTATTGATTTGTTTTATCCTGCTGCTTTACTGAATTTGTTTATTAGCTGTAAGCATCTAATGGATTTTTTTCTGTGTAAACAGTTTTATCATCTGTAAGAAAAGATAATCAACTTTTTTCCTATTTGTATCCCTTGTATTCTTTCTCTTACCTGATTTCTCTGACTGTATTAGTGAGAGTAGACATCTTTGTCTCTCTCCTGATTTTAAAGGAATTGCTTTCATTCTTCCCCCATTCGGCATGAATTTGGCCATGGATTTGTCTCAAATGGCTGTTCTCAATTTGGAATAAGGCCGTTCTATACTTACTGTCATCGGGTTTTTACATGTCAAAACTTTGTGAAAGGCTTTTTCTGCTTCTATTGAGATGATTATATATTATTTATCCTTGATTCTACTAATGTAATGTGTTACACTAATTGTTTCATGTATATTGAACCGTCCTTGTGTCCCTAGCACGAAGCCAACTTGGTCATGCTGTGTAAGTTTTTAATGATTTGTTGAATTTTGTTTTCCAGTATCTCATTAAGAATTTTTGTATCTGTGTTTATGAAGGTTATTGGCCTATAGTTTTCTTTCTTTTCTCTCCTCCTCCTCCCCCCCCCATATCTGATTTTGGTTTTAGGGCAATTCTGGCTTCATGGAATGAATTGGAAGTGTACCTTTTCAATATCCTGGAGTTTGTGTGTTTCAAAGAATGGGCACAGTCTTAGGATCTGACTTGTCAACTGAGCCTGTGAACAGGGAAGCATTTTCCTTTTTTTCTTTCCAGAGCTTTTGGGCTCTGTGTACTGGGAAAACTGTGGGGACAGCAGCATTTCTGGGCTGGCACTGGGAGCACCACTTCTTCTCATTTTCCCTTTTATTTCACCTTTTCACTCTCCTGTTTAAGCTGCTGTCTTTACCCCCTCATGTTGCTGCTCTCTGACTTGGCATATATCTTGGGGCTGTCCAGATGTGCTGCTTCCTCTCTGCCACGACTACACCCTTAATTTCTTTTGTTTATTTCTTTACTATCCATTGTACTTATTATTTATTATCTTTCTTCACTAGAATATAAGCTTTCTTGTCTTCCTGTTACATACTGTGCATATATTAAATATTTGTTGAATACATATAGAGGGTTTGTTTAAATAATTTTCTTTTTTAGACTATATTTTTAAATGAGTTTTATTTGGGAATGATTTGTCTTAGTTTTTAAAAGTTCCTCTTTTTAGAGTAAAGAATTTTAGTTCATAATTAATTAAAAACTCAAGGATACATTACAATATTAAATACTTATATACTTGGTAACACAAATTCAAAATATGTAAAGCAAAACCAAAACTGATATGAAGAAAATACAGACAAGTACAGCAGTTTTTTTTTAAAAGACCATACTCAAAGCAACAATAAGGTGCACTCTTACACCATATTAGAGTGAAATAGGAGCTGAAAGGAGAAATGTACTTAAAATATAGTAACTTTTTCTCTTTTTTTTTTTTTCTATTATCTGTCTATTGCATTCTTTATATATTAACTTTTTATGCAAGGGAAACCATGTGATGTTGAAGGTTGTGTGTCTGATTTATTTTACTTAACATTATGGTCTCATGCTTCCATTTACCTACAGATACCTAAAATTTATCTTTCTTGCGGCAGATTTGTACTCTACCACATTTTCTTTATCCAATCATCTGTTGATGGGCATATGGACTGTCTCCAACATTTAGCTATTATGAATTATGCTGCTGTGAACATAGGCATGTATCCATCACTGTAGTATATGCTTTTAATTCATTTTAGAAGACAGCAAAAAGGGGACTGCTTTGGTCAAATGGAATTTCTGTTTTTAGTTTGTTGAAGATTCTCCATACTGATTTTCATAGTGGGTGTATCAGTTTATACTCCTACTAACGATGAAAAAGGGTTCCTTCCTTTCTCATCGTATTAAATGGCCAAAAACTGAAAACCTTCACATTAAAATCAGGAACAAGGCAAGGATGCCCACAATCACCACTCCTCTTCAATATAGTTCTGGAAACATTAGCCATAGCAATTAGACAAGAGAAAGAAATTAAAGCAATAAAGATAGGAAAGGAAAAAGTTAAACTGTCATTAGTTGCTGAAGATATGACACTCTACATTGAAGACCCAAAAAATTCCACCAAAAGACTTCTAGACTTAACTGACACTTTTAGCACAGTAGCTGGATACAAGGTCAACACTCAAAAATCAATAGCCTTCTTGTACACAAATAACAGACTCACTGAGAAAGAAATTAGGGAAACAATTCCTTTTACAATAGCATCCAAAAAAATGAAGTATCCAGGAATCAATTTAACAAAAGTAGCAAAAGACCTTTACTCTGAAAGCTACAGCACTCTGAAAAAAGAGATCAAAGAGGATATAAGAAAATGGAAAGATATCTCCTGCTCCTGGGTAGGAAGAATCAACGTAGTGAAAATGGCCACACTACCAAAACTGCTATACAGATTCAATGCACTGACAATTTAAATTCCAACACTATATTTCACACAACTAGAAAAAAGAATCCTGCTGGGGATTTGGCTCAGTGGTTCCGGTGCCTGCCACGTCAAGCACAAGGACCCGAGTTCAATCCCCAGTACCAAAAAAAACAAAAAAACAAAAAAAAA